AAGGAGTTCAGTGCATTACCATCAATTATCACCATGTTCGTGCTCGTCACTAACTCATTCATGGTGATTGTCTTTCAACAGCACTCTTCAACGTTCCACTCTCATCAGCACTCGGCATCAATTCCATCCAACATTTTCACGCAACATATTCAACAAGCAAAAAGCACTTCAAGGAAACATTTTCAAGATCAATGCGAATTAAAAATTTCACGATACTCTGAAACTTAATTATAATTCTCAACGGTCATTCCGATCCCCAACTAAAACACATTTAGACGAGATTGAAAATCTGAAATGTAGCAAACTCAAATGGCACATAATTATGCGATAAAAGACAACAACGGTGGCAAAAAATTTTATCAAAATAATTTATACGCGTTACTCGCAATCAGTAGTTTTCCATTCGGAATTTAGTGTTGCGAAGAAGAGTAAGAAAGCAGATAGCTTTGTCGAAAAACTGATAGTGGAGATAAGTTATGCATATGTGGAGACGGATGAAAGTGTTGTTCTCTGTTCGTCATAGCATATATTTCGGTTGCGGTCCCTTGAGACAGCTTTTAAATCTTGGCTTCAATATCTTGAACATATTTTCGAATGCCAGTTTTTCGTTGATCTATTTCACCATCCTGAATTTTTTACCAATATGAAGTTCACTCGTTCTTTTAATCGTGTTAGCGGTGATCATTACGCAATAACGTCAAAAAGTTTATCGATTTTATTCGCGATTATCAGTGCATCATGCTTTTCGAATGACATTGTTGATGTTTTTCATACTCACAATCAAACAAAACAATTCGCGTTGCAGTCGATTCGCAGTGCAAATTTTATGACATTCGCGTGTGCATAAGCAGAAGTAATCGGTTCCAAATACGCATATAAACTCATCAAAATATTTCAGTTAAGCAGCTGTTTTGAGGTGGTAAACAATGAGTGTGCGTAGCCAGATGAGATACTCTGTAATATTACAACTATCTAGTTTGAATCGATGCTGTCAACGATTTTTGATGAGATATTTTGATGAAACGTTAATTTATTCAGTAAAGCCAATACAAGTATGGTGAATGAGTGTTATATTTAAAGCATCGTTGACATGAGCAAATGCATAACTCATACTGAAGCACTGCTCCCTTTTAATTCATACAGTTTGATGCTCTCTTAGAGCAATGTGAATTCCAGTTTCACCTGTTATGTTATGGTCATCTTTCACCTATTCAACGACCATCACCTTCGCGTGGCTGCTCTCGTTCGGACAATATTGCGTTCATATTCATCCCACATACCTTTCATCGGTCATCTTAAGGGCATAAGGGAATTGTTGCTTGATTTCTACGATGATTTTTCGTTTTCCACCACACTTTACAGCAATTTAATGCTGCATCATATGCGAATATCAGCATACCGTGACCGTGAGCATGTCACAAAACTTTATTGAGTGCAGACTTAGTGAAGCGTTAGAAACTAAGTAGCGATGCTAATTAGCAGCACATCACTGCCCTATGCTGATAACTGCCAACATTACATGCTAGCAGTTGAATACTCACCAAACATTTTAAGTTGAATCTTAAAATGAGTCTCAGTGAGACATTTTCAAACGAGAATTGCTTAAAATATGAAGTTTAAGCAAACAAAACGCAATTCGCCAATGAGTGCTAAATCTTATATAGAACTCCAATGTAGGCCTCGAATGTCCAACAAAAAAGTGGATAAAACTAACCGAATCAACTATCACTCATAAGGTCGCAAAATTCGTGCTAACCAAAGCGACGTGTATTTCGATTTCAACTGATAACGGATCCTCTCTTTCAAATAGTGATTGTTTTTGGTGGTTTCATTTCCGATCGATTGCTTGTTTCATCACTGTTTCGTCGGCTTCCCTCGCAACCAGGTTCTATGGTGATACTCGCAAAAAACCTTAATGTTGAATCTATGTATAGTGTGTAGTAGGGTATGCAAAATCCCGACGTTTTTTCAATCCCGGAATCGATTTTTGATCCCGGGATAATCCTGGGATCGAACAATTTTTGTAATATCGATGCGAGACATGTTCAAAAACATTTTTTCGAACCAATATGTTCGTTATTAATCAGAAAGGGGTTGATTCAACAAATTATTGAACAAATTCGAGGAACCAAATTATTCAAATTCAAATTAATATTTCATATAATGTTGCTAATGATCATGTCGTAAGGGCATACTGCATTTTCTATGCTAAGGCATCTTGTCATCTCGGGTCTAAGCTAATAACAGTACACTTGCATGTGAAAATGAAATTCTTGATTCTCAAACACTTATTTGGAGTGCTTCAAGTCCATTTTCTCGCAGTATTAACGTCAGCTGAATTCTGCCATTTCGGAAATTTCGAAAGAAATGCATCGCATAAATTGTAATATTTGAATTTTGAAACAATTAAAAGTTCAAAGGTTATCTAAAAATGAAAAAAAATCCGCAATGGATTTTCATCGAACCATCGAGCACTTACATGTTTGATAATTTCGATCAGAGATCATGGAAATGTACTTGATAGTTAAGTTTAAGATCCGTTTGAATGGAACAATTTACGACAGTGAATTCTCACTATGAGTGAACTCAGTGAGAATAATGTACATTCCGATCGGATGAAAATGTTTCTAAACAGCGATGTAAAAAGACTTGCAGTCTTTAGAACATGCAGTTGAATTAACAAATGAAATATTGAAGCCGAAAAAATCGCGTTAGAGGAAACGACTCAAAATTTCGTTGACTTCTGTTGCTCTTGGTTCTTATTAGAAAATGTGATCATCTCTGTTAGAACACGTAGAAATGCATCCAGATGAGCGTGATATAAAACAATGAAGAGCCGAATAATCAGCTGAATATTCAATGAAATGTTACGTAAATGTTCATCGAGCTGTCGTTCATCATGTCATTCGTCCAATTTGCGTTTATTTCCTCAGCTATTCATCAATGATAGAGGGCAAACAACAAAGTTGAATGCATATGAATGAGATGGTAATGATTAAGGCTTGCTTCAAGATAAGTTTACTATCAAAATTCACGCAAATTGACCTGTTTTATCAAATCTGGAAATCCCGGGATTTTTCAAAACTTAAATCCAGGGATCGGGATCAGAACTGAAATCTCGGGATCCCGGGATCCCGTGCAAACCCTAGTGTGTACTGAGTATATCGAAAGCTTTGTGAATTTAATGTTCATCTTTCACGTAATCACTACACTGTTTCATCCGTTTATTTCAACAATTGAAACACAAACTTTTTTCCCGACTATTGTTTACTGACCATATTCCTCAGCATCTTAACGGTTAGCGAAACAATTAAAATGATAACGAACAGCAATAAGTTTTTATGAGCGAGTGACAAAGCCAGACAGACATCGCTGTACAAACTGAAAATGTCGCTGAGAAAAGAAGCAGAAATTGACGAGAATAAGGCAGTATAATGAAGTATGATAAGACTTGATCTTAGTATCATGTTAGTGATATGAACCAGCATTGATAAAGAATTTCAAAGTGCACTTAACACATGTTTATAAGTTTCTTTCGGAACGTTAAGTCCATCATTATGATCTGTTTCACTTGCTTACCTTTTTTTCCGTAATAATTAACTGGAAATCGTTTCCGAGCAGTAGGTAAGAAATGAGGCCGTCTAAAAGCCAGCTTCATATGAGGGAGTATATTTATAGATGAACCGGGCTTATTCCCTTGAAGTTTCATTCATGACTCGCCAGTTCTTCGTCGTCCTTGAAGCTAATTTTTATTTGCGCCTCTAAAAGTTCTCTACCGTTCTCCTCTAATTATTATTATGCAATCACTGTGAACGCTCGTTAAATATTGGAAGACATTTGGATGCATGAAAATAATAAGCAAGTCACTGTTCGAACACTGTCAATTCGATCGGTATGATTTCACTTTTGGAACATGCTCATGTTAACCTCATTTCTCTTCATAGTTCTGTTGGGAATAGTGATTTTCCATAATGTTCTTCATGAATTTAACCAATTTATAAAGACGAGTTTAGAAAAAAAGCTTCCGCAAAACATTCAAGATGGGAACGGATTTTGATGCAGCTTTTCAAGCACTGCGAAACATGACCATTATATTTGTTCTCAGAAAAACATATCGAAAAAGTCATTTGAATTGCTCTTCTATTTCTGTGCTTGTCACTGTCTTTGGCTTAGTCCAACTATCCCAACTTGACGAACAATGACGGCTGGATGAGTCGAGAGCACTGCGACAAGCTTCAGAAAACATCCAAACAAATCTCAACATGAACGAAGCATGAGTATCAGCTTAAGCGTCAGTGTTCACATGAATGACCAAACATCAGCCAGAGCCTGAGTCTAATTCATACAGACGAGACTAAATAGCAACTCGGTGCATGCGTCGTTATCATACGTTCTATTTTTGGAACACTATCGAACCGTGGTGGCTTTACTCTCCTTCAGTGCCTTAAACGTGCCAACGCCAGAAATCTGAACTTTCAGTCTGGATGATAAGCAATCCGAAATATTCCACTTTTTATCTCACGAGTAAATAGCTCAATCCATTCGGTACTGAAAGGTAAACAAACGATTGGAAACTTCGAGAAACGATAGACGATTCAAAATATTCGGTATTTCCACGGTAAGAAGAGTTCACGGTTTGAAATGTTTATTTAACAATGTTAACAACGTTAAACGATGTTTTTGAAAATTATCGTCCAGTATTATCATTCCTCATCACTGCTCTAAAATCAAAGTGATCGTTCATATCGAGTCTTCACCTGAATGTTTGCGAGATCACCTAAACACATTATACCTGCCACTGAGATGCGATTCGGCTTCCTTCATTTAAATTGGCTAATTTCCACATTTAGATGGCTGAACCTGAAATACTTGATAAATACAATATTCAAGTTCAGAGGGGAATAAACGTTGCAAATCCGACTGTCAAGCTTGACTTTGTCGCTTTTGGCTATCAAAATAGATCTGACTAGTTCAATAAATCCGATAAGTATTGCAGCAAGATGAAGCCAGCTGAGAGCACCGATAAAAGTGACGATCGTCAAAGCGTTAAGGATCCGCAAAGCAATAATGCTCAAACAGCTCAGCATAGTGAACGAGAGGGCGATGCAATGGATCCGGCAACGATGTCCACTTGCACTGTAGCGGATAAGCATCATTCTTATCGAATGTTTCCGTCGTTTCGTTTCGCGGTTGGCATCATGTTGGCGGCAGCATTTTTTTGTGCCACGTCAATGCGAGCTGATCTTGGAATGGCAATGGTTTGCATGGTGAATGCAACTGCATTCACACCAGACAAGCCTGTAAATTGGACAAAAAACATCGATAAGAGTGGAGTGTGTCAAGCAGACGGTACAACTGATAATATGGTCAACGCGGGATACAATGTAAGTTCACAAAGTGTCAGTCCAACATTCTGAATATATTCTAAAGACAATTCCAAATTAATCCAAATCAATGTAAAAACCCAGTCAGTTTGGACGAAG